TCTGATTACAAAGTTAGCATTTTACTCTAAGTCTTTTAAAAAAAAACTGTTTGAAAAATATCTCTCTCCTCCCCATTTTGTGACATCTGTACCTAGGAAAATATGGTAGACAAGGATAATTTTATTGAAAAATATCTGATAATTTAACTGATAGTTTTAGTTTTTTGAATCATTGACAGGATTGCTCTAGTAACATTTCAGTTTATTCCACAAGGATTTAAATTGGATTCACATTTTCATGCAGTGTTTGAAATGTCTTTGTTATTTATTCTTCACTCAATTGCAAGTAATAGTCTTGCCTCCAGGGATCATTTATTCTTTTTTAAAATATCTTTTTTGGGGGAAGAGGGTACATGTGAAAACTTGATACATTTAAAAGACTTGTAAGGATCAAATTGGCTTAACTGGGATATCTGTTCCCCTTAAATATTTGTTTTTTTCTTTAGGCTGGAAACATTTGAATTATTCTCTTCCTAAGTGAACTTCCTCCTGACATACATGACAGAGATCTTCAAATCTCAAATCCTTAGAAGGGAATAGGTATCTCTTCAGTGTCATATCTGCAGCGGTGCTGACTCCAGTGCAGGACCGGGAGCTCGCCTTTTGTATGTGGCACTTTTTGTCTGCTTAGAGTAAGACATGGCCCTCATAGTTGATCTTTAACAGTGAGATGTGTGAGCTTGCTCTTTTCTGGATCTTTCTCAGGGAGTATTTGGTGAAGATTTATTATTATTATTATTCATGAACCTCAATATGAAGTCTGACTCCTGCAGGCAGGCATGTTATGACTGGAGGTTGCCCAGGAGTTAGGGAAAATTTTGAGTTTCTGGAAATAAAAATTAACTTCATTTTGTTACATTATTATTATTTGTTATTTTTATCAGAAATTCAAATATTTCCTGAGTGAGACTATGGCCTCGTAGCCTGTATTTCTTTAACTTATCTTAACTGATTGTAAACTTAACTGATGCTCAAAAGCAGCACCAGGGATTGTGTCTTTCAGGAGCAGTTGAATATCATGGCAGAGAGCATGGACAATAGAAGCCAAGTCCTTGAGCCTGTATCCCACTCTTCCACTCAACCTCTCTGAGCCTTAGTTTCTCCAACTGTGAGATGGTGATAATTGCAGTAATCCATCCCATAGAGGTACTATGAAGAGTGACTATGTCAAAACACTGAAGCATGTACAATGATGTCCAGCACACAGCAAGCGCTACACATGTGCTGCCCAATTTATTATTAGCAGCTTGTATTAATTTTAAAAATTGAGAAAATTTTTTATTGGTACATTAGTTTCCTGTGGCTGTGATAGTTTCCTGTGGCTGTGATAATCCCATGCTCAGTTTATAATATTATCATTTTGGAGGTTAGAAGTTCAAAATTGGTCTCTTTGGGCTAAAATTAGGAATGGCGGCTACATTTCTTAAGAGGCTTTAGGAGAGAATCTAGTTCTTAGCCTCTTTCAATTTCCAGATACCACTCACATCTGCAAGGTCTGAATATGCAAAAAAGATCTTGCAGATATGATCGATTTAAGGATTCTGAGGTGAAGCGATTATTCTGGATTATGTTGCTGGAATGCAACCACATAGGCCCTGTAAGGAAAAGTGGAAGACAAGGTCTTTTTTTGCCACATAAAGAGCATATTCATGAGTGGATCGTCTGAGCCCGCGGGTTTGAGACCCGCCTGGGCAATTCGGCGAGACCTCATCTCTACAATAAATCAAAAATTAGCCGGGCGTGGTAGCGCACACCTGTAGTTCCAGCTACTCGGAAGGCTGAGGCCGAAGGATCGCTGGAGCCCAGCAGGTCTAGGCTGCGGTGGCTGGGAGTAGCCACTGCACTCCAGTCTGGGTGACAGAGTGAGACTCCAACTCAAAAAAAAAAAAAAGCATATTCATTGGTTCTAAGGATTAGAACATGGGGATCTTTGGGGTGGTGGGGGCAGATGCAATGCCCAAAATTGCTTTTATTTACCACTAAGCTAAGTCTATCACAGCATTATACATTTGACAAATTAATAATAAAACCTATAATATTTTTAAGACACAGTTTTTCTGATAATAGGAGGCAGATGGAAACTTGCTGCTAAGACAAGTCATAGGTAATGATTTTCTGTCTTTTTATCTGTTTAACATAGGGTTCAAACTTCATTATTAACATCGATAATCCAATTTTTGGCTGTATAATAGCATTTGAAGCTAAAGTTATCTTATCCTGAATCATTGGGACTTAAATGAATGAGGAACTATCCATAGCAAGAGCAGATTCAGAAGACAAAGGAAGGGGTGAGTTGCTCCTGTACTGTAAATTGCACTGACATCTTAACTACATATATTGATTTGAAGCCACAGGGAGTTATTGTCTCTAATTTGCTCTATATGTAAACCTCAGTGATTTAGAAGTAAAATTTATATTGTCGTTTGATCTTAGAAACTTGTGATTTACGTTTGTTTCCAAAGTGAAGTATCTTTTGATGAAATGTGAGTGGATCTTTTTTATTTTATTTTATTATTTTATTTAATTTTATTTATTTTAGGTTGGAGATGAGCACAAAGGCCTGGTAATTTTAAAAATATATTTCCGGGCAACCCCCTCAGGTCCCTTTCCACTGTGGGAGCTTTTTTGTCTTCTCGATAAATCTTGCTTTAAAAAACTAAAAGTAAAATAAACAAAAAATGTATTCCTTTTAGTATGTTGTATAAAACAAACCCAGAAGACTTGAAGAAATCCTTCTAGATATGTACCATCTTAAAAAGTATTAGAAAATAAACAACTTTCATTTTTATTAACTATTGTGTTTAAAAATTGTTCATTTAAAAATTCAACACATATCTACAGTGCTCCAGTTCTTCTTTTAGATGGTGGCAACACACAGTTCACAAAAAAAGGCAAAAATAGAGCTTTTTTTTCTGGTGTCAAGAGATAAATACAAAACAAAATAAATACATAATATGTCAGATGGTGTTAAGAAATGTGAAGAAAAGTAAAGTCATGAAGTTGAACCAGAATAGGCTACTCTGAGAAGATGACTTTTGAGCAATGCCCTGCAGGACATGAGGGGTGCCCTTGCACAGATGTGAAGAGGAACCCCAGGCAAGGGAAGTGGGGGAGACAAAGGCCTAGCCTAGGGGCACTTGCAGACAAGGGCAGAGGAACAGCCAGGAGGCCACTGCAGCAGCAGCAGCACAGGGACAAGCAGACTGGAGGAGGCAGGAGGTGATTCCAGAGAGTGAGAGGTTCACAACACGACAAACCTCAAAGTGCGACATGCAGGGGTCTGAGCAGTGAGGGATGTGGTGTCATGTAGGTGGCCTAGGATCACTTAGACTGCTGCACTGAAGCTAGACTAATGGGAGACCAGGGAGATTGTGGGAAAGCTCCTAAAACAACCCAGGTGGAATATGATGAAAGATGGACGAAGCCAGGCTGCTCCTGGCCATGGAGATGATGAGAAACACAAATGTTTTCACCACTTTATAGTTTTTGGACCAAATGTTTGTGTTCCCTTAATATAATAAAGAGGAGACATACTCTCTCCCCATTAGGGTGGGTTAACTTTATTCGGAAACAGATGTCTTAAGCTACTTTAAGCATAATTTGAACGTATCAGTCAGAGGGAAAGTTGAAGTGAATCAGTTTAATTTTATGGTAGCATATCATTTTTTTGTTACTAGACTCTATTAATTAGGTTTTCTTGATTCTATGGGTCAATTTTCACTGTCATTACAATTCTTATAACTTTATGAAACCAGGTATGACTTCAACATCATAAAAGATGATCAGCTAAATTTAAGTTTCAGAAAAACAAGAATTTTTTTAGGGTAAGTATGTCACAAAGTTTTTGAGTATCTGAGACACAAAGTTTTTAATGATCTAAAAGCTAAATATAGTTGAGCATCCTATATCCTTATTGTCTAAATTTGACAACCCTGGATAGCGGGGCCTGTGAATGGAAAAATAAATGAATAAATTGCAGGGTATATCTGGGCTTGCACCCTTGGTTTTATTCTCTTTTCACATTCACAAATGTTTGATTCTCAAGTCACTAAGGCCATGGGATGGGGGCTGTCACTTTGCTACATGTGTAACTTTTTTTTCTGTTTTTTGTTTAACATTTAAATCTTTCCTTCGTCTGATGAGAGTTAGAGATGAAAATTCCTTCTTGAACTGTGATTTTTGCGTTACATTCCTTTAACTGCTCCATAGACTTTTGTTCCTGAGTTTAGCTCTGACCTCAGTGAAGCAAACATTGGCAGACACATGTCTTGAGTAACTGTGTGCTCCCTTGAGTCTCTTGGTGACATAGCTTCAAGTTTTTTATTTTTAATTTTTCTGGCCCATTTCTCAAACCCTCACTAGCAGTGGGGTACAATGCAGGGAATCATCTTAGTGTCATAAACTGTTTTTTAATAATTTAATTCTGGAAGCTGTTGGTTGATAAGTCAGCAAGTAAAGAAACTTTGGCAAAATATCTGCTAGGAGGTCAGCAAAGCAGAGCGATTAACAGTGAGGAAGCCCAACTTTAGGTTCTAGCAACATGAAAGAAGAGCAGAAAGATGAAAACATTTCATCCATGAAGCCCCAACAAACGACCTAGCCCTTCATTTCCTCAGTTATTCATTTCACTCACCTTCAGCCATTCAATCAATGAATTAGCCATCCTTTCCTTTAATCAGTATTTACTTAGCCTTACTATAGGCTGGACAACTTTCTGGATGCAAGAAATGCAGAATGAACAGATGTAAAACTCTACCACAGATGTAGCACACTGCAGTTTTTATCAAGCAGTTACCATAACCTATAGCGGCTTGACCTTAGATACAATGCGGAAAGGGCTGTTCTCCAAGGAGAAATGCAGCATGGTTACACTTTATGATGTGTATATTGGTCTGTTTGTTTTTCCCTGGCATCATACCCTGGAAGATTTCATCCTGACCAGCATCCTTGGAAGCATCATCTCCATTCAGATACTTTCCACCTTGAGAGTGTTCTCTTGCCTTTCTTCCCGGTCTTTGTGTCTTCCTGTCCCCCTGAGCCGTCACAAGCAACATCAATGAAGAACATGACTTTATCCTCCGACTTTATCTTGCTAGGGCTCCTGGTGAGCAGCAAAGCCACGGGGATTGTATTTACAGTTATCTTTGCTATTTTTGTGGTGGCTATAACCACAAATCTGGTCATGATATTCTTGATTCAGGTGGACTCCCGCCTCCACACCCCCATGTACTTTCTGCTCAGTCAACTGTCCATCATGGATACCCTTTTCATTTGTACCACTGTCCCAAAGCTCCTGGTGGACATGGTTTCTAGAGAGAAAACCATTTCCTTTGTGGCCTGTGGCTTCCAGATCTTCCTCTACTTGACCATGATTGGTTCTGAGTTCTTCCTACTGGGGCTCATGGCCTACGATCGCTACGTGGCCATCTGTAACCCTCTGAGGTACCCAGTCCTGATGAACCGCAAGGTATGTCTTTTGCTGGCTGCTGGTGCCTGGCTTGGCGGCTCCCTTGATGGCTTCCTGCTCACCCCCATCACCATGAATGTCCCCTACTGTGGTTCCCGCAGCATCAACCATTTTTTCTGCGAGATTCCTGCCGTTCTCAAACTGGCCTGCGCAGACACGTCCTTGTATGAAACCCTAATGTACATCTGCTGTGTGCTCATGCTGCTCATCCCCATCTCTATCATCTCCACCTCCTACTCCCTCATCCTGTTAACCGTCCACCGCATGCACTCTGCCGAAGGTCACAAAAAGGCCTTTACCACCTGTTCCTCTCACTTGACTGTGGTCAGCATTTTCTATGGGGCTGCTTTCTACACATATGTGCTGCCCCAGTCATTCCACACCCCTGAGCAGGACAAGGTGGTGTCAGCCTTCTACACCATTGTCACACCCATGCTTAATCCTCTGATCTACAGCCTCAGAAACAAGGACGTCATGGGAGCGCTTAAAAAGATATTTTCATGTTGCTCATCTGCTCAGAAAGTAGCAACAAATGATACTTAGAAATCCAATAATATGAAGATAGGTGTCCTAAGAATTTCCTGTGTGCGCCTTGGTTTTTTGTTTTCTTTTGTTTTCTTTTGTTTGCTATTTTGGTCAGCTGTCAAAGTATACAAGTATTGGTAATTAAGTAGATTCATCCTATCTGGATTCTTGTTCCTAAGGCAGGGAGGAAAAGATGTTTCACTGTTCTATGAACACCTTTTGGTGAAGTATCAAAAACAATTTGTCCCTAAGTTAAATAATTTACCTGATTTTGGTTCTTGTCTCTAAAGAAAAAAAAAGCAAATATTAGAGTTCACAGCATTTTTTCATTCTGAACCACATCTCTTTCATGGCTAAACAAACAACCAAAAAAAAAAAAAACTACAAAAAGTATTGAATTTTTAAAGTCAAAAGTTCTGTGTTTATTTTTGTGGCAATAAAGTAAAAAAGACGTGACAAAGATAAATTTCATAATTTAATCATGTTTTTATTACAGAATTAACACCAATGAACTGTAACCTCTATGATCATCTTTGAATCTCTTGTGCTGAGTATAGTAGCTGTCAAATGCTAGGCCACAATAAGTGGTGGATGAATTGAACAGAACCATGTGTGAATGCATGGATATCTAAGCATTACACAACTACTCACAGGGAGTAGACTCTAATATTTAACAGTTAAAAACACTAGCATGCCACCTTCCATGAAAATGTTACAGTAATGTCCATGACCAGAGACTGCATATTTCCCAGCTGTGTATGTATGATTCAACAACAGCACTTGGAGGCACTTTGAATTTGGCTTTGAGAGAGCTGGGAAGTTCTTGAAGAAGTTTCAACAGAGGTGTCATGAGATATACATTTTAGAAGGGATCACTGTGTCTATACTGTGGAGAATAGAACAAGTAGCACACATGGAAGACAGCCCAGGATGTTTCAAAGATGAGAAACAAAAATGGTTGGAGCAGGGTGGAGACAAAAGGGGATTTAGCTTATGAATTTGATGTATGTTGGCAAAAGATGTGGAATGAAGGGTAGCTCACTGGTTTGGACCCATGTAAACAGAAAATTGAATTTTTATTTATTGAGATTGGGAAACTATAGAGGCAGTTAGGATAAATCAATAATTCATCTTTGTCAATATAATTTTGAAATGCCTACTAGATATTTAAGCTATATGTCAAGTCAAAGTAGTTCAGGTTAGAGTTCTGAACCTAAGGTATAAATTTGGTAGTCTTTAGAGCACAAGAGAACTTAAAGATACACTTACTTATAAGAAAAGATTTGAGGTTGAGGCCTAAGGCAACCAGGGTTAGATGAAAAGTAAATGAGAAAAGAGGTAGGGTCTGATGAGGTAAGAAGAAACAATGTCTAAGACATAGGTAAAGGAAATGTTTAAAGAAAGAAGGCGTAATTAGCTACTACACATGCAGTTCATGGTTGGAGTGAAATGAGAAGTGAGACTTGATTACTGTATTCGGCAACATGAAGATTACTTGTGACCTTAAAAAGAACAATTTTCTTGGAGATGTGCTTAGAGAGGATTCAGGGTAAAATAAACGGGAGGAAATAGGCAAGATGAGTTGAGTATAAACATAGTTTTAGGATTTTTTTGTAAGGGAGGGCAAGGAAATTGAACATAGCTAGAAGGATGTGATATGGATGTGTTTGGTGTTTATGTGGCTGTTATGTGATAATAAGATGTATATACATTCAAAGAAACAATGTGGCACAAAGAGAAAATTGTTGATGGATGAAAAATGGAGGGCACTTCCTGAAAAATGATCTTTGAAAGTGACCGAGAGCATAGAAACCCTTGTGAAAGTGAGAGGTTGGCCTTTGTACAGGCATGGCCAGTTTGTTGACTGTAGTAGGGGCACGTGGTACAAAAGAACTCTTTTTTGGTGACTTCTACTTTCTCAGTGCAGTTGGATTCAAGGAAAACTTCTATGAGAGAACAGAGAAGTTCTGTCAAAAGCTTGAGAGGAATTGGTACAGTGGTTCACGCCAGTAGTCCCAGCACTTTGGAGGCCAAGGCAAAAGGATTGCTTGAGCCCAGGGGTTCACAACTAGCCTGGGAACCATAGCAAGACTTCGTCTCTACAAAAAATAAAGAAAAAATCCAGGATTAAGAAGAAAAAAGACTCATCTTGGAGAGGAGGTTAACGAACTAGGCAGAGATGTTTGGATTGTAGGGTGACCTTAGAAAGCACCTTAGCTCCGAATTTATGAATTTAGTATAAACATGCTTGTCACATAATACATGACGTGTATTCAGTCAGCCTGGTGCCCAGTAAATAGTAAGCACTCAATGTGTTAACTACAATTAAGTATGGTAACAACTAAAAAATAATGAAAACCAGCAATGCTACTGTTTCTACTACAGATTTACCTTTCCTTACATGCAGAAAACAAATCATATTTATTTATGCTTTCTAATGCAGTAGGTAATAGATATTCAATAGCTTTTGTTTTATTTTAAATGAAATGGTCTCTGGGCAATTAAAAGTAGCATAATCAGAATTCTTGCCAGTGTGAAGTTTCTTGTATGCTATGGCGTGACTTTGTATAATAAGATGACATTCTGTCACTTCAAAATGCTGATTAATCTTTAAAGGTTAAAGACATCTCTCCCCCTAAAACATCCTCTCTGTAATCTGGATTTTGTGATGCTTCTCTGGTGATAGTTGCTTTCCCATGTGGTGAGGAAAAATGTCCCTGCCCCAAATATATTTAGTTGAATTCGTGAGTCTCCTATAGATTCTGATAGATTTTATTAAAATATTCAGTCTCATACCTCTGTGTATTCCAGAAACTGCTACTTGCTTCAATAAATTGTTTATTGTAAGTTTTTTCCTATTAATCTTTAATTATTTTTAAATTATTTTCATTCTGATTCCCCAACTTCAAAGCAGTGCTAAGGCCATATGGTTGAAGTTAAACCCATTGGAGTTCGCATCTTGGCCTGTTTACATCCAACATTTTTGTGCCACAGTTGATGACCTTGCTTAGAGTTAATCGAAAGCCAAGAATGGGGGAAGGCCTTTTGGAGCAGATGATTTCTAAATCTGTAAAGGTTACTTCTTCAGACAATGGGATCTCTGCCTTAGTCATCTAGCTACCTCTGCATCCTTCTGTGGGTTGTCTGGGCAGAGCACTCACAAGGAGTCTACCTTGATTCATTAAGTAGTATATATCTCAGGCACTGCACTCAGACACGTGCAATTTCACCCAATCCCCACATCTCTACACACGTCTTCTCCCATCGTCCCAATAAAACTATGACTCCACAGCTTGTATTAAACTCACATTCCATGCTTATATTATTAAGAAGGTATGCATATTGACTACTGAGTCATTAGTAGCACTGATTATATTTTCTTTAACATAAAACTTTTTTGCTTTGTTTTATTTTTTGCTTTTTCCTGGAATGAATCAGGTTATAAATTGTATTTGCTTTAATTTGCTTCTCTGCCATATGCATATGTTTCCTCCTGATAAATATCCTCTCAAAAGTGTGAGTTCTTTCCTCTTTCCCCATTATACCTTCACATGTGGACCCTTTATCATCTTTTCCCAGGCTTTCCTCTTTCCCCATTACACCTCCACAATTGGACCTTTTACCGTCTTATCCCATGAGCCCCTCTTTCCCAACCATCTTATCCCATGTCTTCCTCTTTCCACATCACCTCTTCACATCTGGACTCTTTACCATCTTATCCCATGCCTCCCTCTTACCCCATTATCCCTTCACATCTGGACACTTTACAACCTTATCTCATGCTTCCCTCTTTCCCCATTACACCTCCACATCTGGATCCTTTGCCGTCTTATCCCATGCCTCTCTCTTTTCCTATTACTCCTTCACATCTGAACCCTTTACCACCTTATCCCATGCTTCCCTCTTTCCCCACTACACCTTCACATCTGAACCCTTTACTGTCTTAACCCATGCCTCCCTGTTTCTTCATTACCACTTCACATCTTACTTTACTTTCTTATCCTATGCTTCTCTCTTTTTCCATTAACCCCCACATCTGGACACTTTACCATCTTATCCTATGTCTCCCTCTTTCCCTATTATCCCTTCACGTCTGAACCCTTTACCTTCTTATCACATGTCTCCCTCGTTCCCCGTTACCCCTTCCCATCTGGACCCTTTACAGTCTTATTCCAAGCCTCCCTCTTTCACCATTACCCCTTCACATCTGAACTCTTTACCTTCTTATCCCATACCTCTCTCTTTCTCCATTACCCCTTCACGTCTGGACCCTTTAACATCTTATCTCATGCCTCCCTCTTTCCCCACTACTCCTTCTCAGCTGGTCCCTTTACTGTCTTATCCTGTGCCTCCCTTTTTCTCTATTACCCCTTCATAGTGATGATACATATCTTCCAACAGGTTTATAAGCCAGATACATGGGAGCAAAATGTTTTCATGCTTTACATGTCTGAAAATGACATTATTTTATCCTCTCACTCAGTGGTAGTTTGGTTAAGTGTCAGGCTGTGGGTTGAAGGTAGTTTTCTCTCATGATTATGAAGGCATAACTTCACTGTTTTCCCATTGAGAATTTGCTGGGAATTCCAGTGCTGTCTCAGTTGTAAATGTACTAGATTTCACTCTCTGTAGGCTGTCAAGATCTTCTCTGGAAGTTGCATTAAAATTTTATAATAATATGTTTTGATAGAAATTCATTTTATCAGTGGTATTGGTCAGTTCAGGACATTTCAATCTTGAAATTAGTCTTCTAATTATAGAATATTTTCTTGAAACATGACTTTAATATTCTCCTCTCTTCTCTTTAAACTTTTTTTTCTCTTGAATTCCTGTTATATGATTTGCATCCTCTTACAAACCAAAACTCAAAGTATATTAGATGTTCTATGCTCTGTCACAATCTTTTTTGATCTACTTCATGATCCCTCCTATTGTAATCTATGCTCAAGAACTTCTTTTTAAATGTCTCTAGTGCTCTCTTTAAAACATTTTTTTCTAGTTTAATATTTGTTATGATGTTCTCATCTCTCATGAAAGATTAATAACAATTCTCCTTCAAATAAAGAG